TTGAACCTTCTCTGAAATTGGAGACGGGGAATTAGAATTAGGTTGTTTCAGAAAGGTTGCACGGCTCTGGATCTGCACAAGTACGGGATTCTAAGGTGCAATTCAAGATTTTCTTCGACCAACGGTACTGAAAGATCTTGAAACACTTCGAGGTTTGCGGATGTCTCGAAACATCACCAAAAATCTAGAAAATACTCTTATGGAACTCGGAAACAAAATTATCGTTTAACACTAGACCTACATTATATTTTTTTGTAAAAAACTGGACAAAATTTGGAACCAAATTCTGGTTAGCTTGCGATATAAATAGGAAATATATGTATAGCAAAGACAAATGGTGAGAATCTTCAGTTTCCACTGTCTTAAAACAGTCTAACAACGCGTATTAAAAATACTAAAACTTTGGACGCGTGCAGTTCCGAAGCTACTAGTGCTTTATTCATTATTGAGCCATCGTTGGAAGCGGTAAACCTTCCCCTTTAAAATGGCTTTTGGTTTTTGTCGATCCGACTTCCCGTTTCGGAGATATCGTAATTTATGTAGAAGGTAATTTTTCTTAATTCGACTATCGCTGTCTCCGTCTGACGCGTCGCGCCAGACTTCTCTTTCTCGCACGTGATTCGCGACCGAGTGGCCGAGTGACCTAGTTTCTCCGAGCACGTGCCGGTCAACGACCTTGACAAGGCCGCAGTAAAAAAGTAAACAAACTCTTCGGACCCTTATATCTCCGGAACCGGCCACAGCATCGACTTGAAACTAAAATTGCTATATCTCCGGAACTAATAAAGCTATCGACTCGTACAAACGCTCATTTTAAAGGGCATTTCATCCTCTATCCAATGACTACACTAGCTGCTATAATTTTTCTTATCTTCTATGTTTATTTTGAAATTTAATTTGACGCTACATATCCAAAGTAGTTTCAGAACTTCCTATTGATCATACGACTAATGTGGGATAAAACTGGACTACAAATTGTTTATTTAATTGACGATGAATTAAAATTTATATACAGAGTGTTTGCATAATTACTATGTCATTTTTCGACTTGAAAGAAAATTTGTTTTCAAATGCGTTTTATCTTCTATCCGATGAAAATTACTAATTTACTAATACTATTAAAATACTAATGCACGTTCCGAAGAACGAGAAACGATTAAGGAAAACAAGTAAACGCTAAAATTTGTTGCTCTCGAGCATCGCGGAAATTCCAAGTGAATCTGTCTGAAACGGTTTTCCGGGGGCGATGGTTATCGTTTCCAAGAATATCGAAGACATCCTTAATTTTCGATAGGAGATCGCGACACCGACGCGTGTCAACGAAGCAGTCTCCCGACACCAATCGAACTTCCTTTGCCAAGGATTTCAGGAAAGGGAAATGACAAGATCGGAAAGGGCGATGGGGTGAAGGTTCAGGTTATTTCAGGAAGCCGTAGTGATTACGCTTCGGTCGCCAATGAGAGCTTATCTCGCCGCCTTGTAAAGAAGTGTCTATATATACGTAGCCATTACTGGCCGCGCGCGGCAGAACCAACCCCCCTCCCTCCTTCTGCCATTCTGTCCTCAGCCCGCCCCCGCGACTAAACTCCTTCAACCTCGGTAAGTTATTACGTCGTGAAAATAAGGAGAAAATTGGAAAGCGGTTTAGCCGTGAAAGCGGTGTCAATTACTGTCGGTGTTCTCGATACCGTCTAAGGTTTCTGACCTTTCGCAGATGGCTCGACGACGCGATCAAACGACCCGACCCTACACGGAACCGCAACTTGCATCGAACCACCCTAGATACATTCCGTCTTGCAATTTACTAATTTGATTCGCTGCACGATCGACACGATTAATTACTGCACGACGTGGGGGAAGAGAAACACGTCACGCGATATCAATCCTTCCTCCAATCTATGGATTACCAAAGGTTGTCAAAATCATCAAATAGTATTTACTACTACTGAATTCTCTTTTTTTAAATGTGTTTGGAAGTAACGGGTTTGAGATGGTTTTGGACAGACGCCTGTTATTTGTTATTTTGCGAATGTCGAGTAGCATTGCACGCAATCGATTCCTTGTGAAAGAAATTAATAATTCTAGTTCGATTCTGTACTAGGATATGTTTGTTCTAGCGATGCTAGCTTTGAATATCGAATATCGTTTCCAAACTACACGTTCCTAAAGATGACGTTTGATCGCTCGACAAACGAAAACCAAAGCACGATAACGATCGAAATGATAATTCCAGCATGGAGTATGTTTTATAGATTGAAGTTGGTATTACAGGTCGCGAATTCTGTCTGGCAAATAACATCACATTCTACTGATTTCGAAGTAGGTTGTTACGAGTTCATTTCGAGAGTTCTACGTTCTACTTATAACTTCTACAATGAACACGGAAGAACCAACTTTTAGTGTTTTCACGAGTATCCTGAAGTCCGGAAAATGATCCTCCAAAACTCTGAGCACCCTACTGTGAATTATTCATATCTGAAAAATCTTGTTATTAATTCTTGTTCTGTCGACTATTTTTTATTATTGAAACTATTATTCTTAAAAGTTATAAAAAAAGTCGATCCAGAGAAAAGTACAAGAAGAATAAAAATTGCCAGAAATTTTCACAAAATCTAGTATCTTCTCTATTCACGCGTATAATATCTAATTTAATTTTGCTCTGCATTATTGATAAACTCTGTAACTTACCAACGCAAAATATTACTTTTCCCAATAATGTTCGTCGTCGACACAAAGGAGAAACGTTGTTCTTTACAGAGCTGGTTTTAATTACTACGCGAGTATCCTTCCAGAAAATTAATAACTGCGTGATTGGCAGTTAACGGATCAACAATGGCCCGTCTGTTTCATAAACTCGGTCTTCGCGGCGTCTTTGCAATTACCGCGTAAACATCGACAAACAAATTTGCTAAACCGCGCCGGGGGGGAAGTTGATACGTCGACAATAGAGCCCGCGACGCGGAAGAAAATGAAACGTTCATTGTGGCGATAAAAGGGCGTCATACCGTCAATCATCGGAGGACACCGACTTTATTGAGATAAAAAACCGCCAGAGCCCATTGGCTCTGTTGTTACAGGGTGGTAATGATCCTCCCAGGATGATGGGGATCCGATCATCGATCGGATCTCCTTCCTGTCAATCTTCCGGGCACGGCTTTGTCGTCGAACGCCGCGCGGATAAGGGAACGAGCGCGAAACCGGAGCGATTTCTGGTGTCGAAATCGCGGTGATCGATGCGTTCCGTCGATAATTTGCTTCTCGACACCTGTGAATGGACGCGAGCCCCGCTAAAAGCGCAGCGAACGTTTCAAAGGGACGGCGACCGCGGATGGAGGACGAGGTAATCCCAAAAATGTCTGCGTGGAATATCGACGCCTGTTGCCCTTTCAACCGACCAGACGCCATTCACAGGGTACCGTGTCTTTGCTCGACAATCGTGGTTTCTGCTCGATCGACCGTCAATTTTCCTCGCCGGGTCAAAGTTCCTCGACTATTTTCCAAGTTTTCGCCGCGTTAGAAACTCGATACCTCGACAAACACCCCGAAGTGTTCAGAAAAACATGGAATTTATTCTCTTTAACATTTTATCTTGAGAACTGATTTGTTCAGTCACCAAAATACAGTGACTAGACACTAGAAACTTTTATCAGATTGTCTCGAATATCTTTAGAACTCCCATCGAATTATATCGATTGCCTCCTGGTATCATAGATACTTTTGAAACGTCCGAAATGGTACGATAAATGTTCTAGACATCTTCGAAGTGGTACAATCGGCGTTCTGGAAACGTTCGAAATAGTTCGATAGACGTTCTAGAGACGTTCGAAGCGATTCGACAGATGTTCTAGAGATAGTCGAAGTGGTACGATGGATGTTCTTGCGAAAGAGGCCCAACGACGGAGGTTAGGACGAGGAACGGGGGTGGTCTAACAAGAATAACTGCCCTCATTTAGAACGAGTATAGTTTCTCTACTAATGCACTTCAAAATAGGTCAGGAAAATTTGTATACAATCTTATAAATGTTGGTAAGGTAGTAAATAACTCTGTTCGGAATAAAATATTTATTATTAAATACGTAGGGAAAGGAGTAGTATCGAGATCGTTTTAACTTGAGTGTTTTAATTATAGTCTTTTCGAGTTGCAGGTAAATACGGAACGAAATATTTTCCCGGGGCGAAGGTACCGCATTCAATTTACGTTGAATCCGTTTATCGAACGAAACTGAGCGTCGGAATTTTAGGAAAGAGAAAATAGTTCGCGCGTGTTACGGAATTTGGTAAACTCATCGTTCGAAGCGTCACAAAGGACGCTTTTGCGTAAATGCACGTGCATAAACAGTGACCCCGAAACACGGCGGAAAAAAAGAGAAGAAACGTGTTCGATAAAATACAGCGTCGAAAATGCCACAAAAACGTTCGGAGCGAAGGAGCTTGGTTTTCAGGATCTCGAGGAGCACCCTACTTTTGCATTCAAATGTGTACCTGGCCTAAAGTTTAATTACGAAACGGAAACTAGGTTAATCACTCGCGATTCAGGGGTTTTAAGCGAGAAGAATTTTTCTTGTTGTCGATTTCAAGCATACCCAACAGTATTAGGCCACTTTCCTTGCTTTTGAATTCAATAACATCGAGCAGGACTTACCGTGTACATTAAAGAATGGATTATCGTAGTAATACAGATAGATATTAAATTTTTAATATTTAATAGGTATTTCTGATAATGTATCGTTATTTGGTCCATTATTTAATTTCGAATGACTTTGTACCAGAGATCGTTGGAAGCTTAAACATTTGATATACTATTGGAAGTAAAAGAAAGTTAATATGTCGTTAAAAAAAATAGAGACACTTTCAGTGTGGTCGACTAACCGTTTCTCAATTATTCCGAAAGTGGTCTTGGTTATTTATTTAGCCGACTTGCGAGCTTTCACCACGTCAGATTCACCGATTCCCTTAAATCTTTATTTGTATTTTGTGATAAATCGCCGTCCCGTACCAACCTGTGGGCGTACATGGTGTTCTCGCTGCTTCCACGAGGTCCTCGCGACTTCCGGGCGGCGCTTCCAGCATCGTTCCGCTTCCGGAGAATTTTTTCACGCACAGCAGGCTCAACGCTGAAACCAGAAAATGGAAATTCATTTTTTTGAGAAAATAAAGGTCTCGTTGCCATCTGAAAAATGAAAATACTCTACGCGAAAAACGAATAGAATACTCGAGAACGAACCCTTTCTTCCATTACAGTACTTCTATTAACTCCCGATGCATTCTCCACGAGACGCAACAATTAGCCTCCAAATTGAACGTTGTACAATTCTTTTCTTACATTTGTTCGCCTCGTTAAGTGCGCGTTATTACCAGCGGATTAGATTTCTCGTTTACGACAAGAGAACTTCTCCTAAGTACGGAACTTTTCCATTCGCAATAATCCGACTTCCACCCTAAGTCGACGGGTAATTATTAAGTAAGCTTAAACGAATGTACAAAGAGAATTCTCGATTGGATGATCCTTTGCAACCGCAGTATAATTACTATAATCCCTGCGCTATAGGAGACTGCAGGTCATTTTTAGAAAGTATAACTCGCTTTTCGTTGCGCGCTGCGTTCACAGGAAACTCGAACAAGTTTTCAAAATATAGTCCCACCTTGTGGGCTGAAATGCACCATCTGACTCGTAATTAATTCACTCCACTCATAAATAAATTTCAATGTTTCTACTGTGTCGTGTTTATTAAAAATCAAACACAAATTTTTAAGAAAAATCGATAGGCTTTGGAGAAATTTTTCGACGAAATTGAAAAGTTTCAAATCGTTCTAAAAAAATTATTTTTAGTTGCAGGGCTCGAGTACAATCATTTTTGGTTATTACACATACCCCCGAAATCCTACCCACTTTCGAGAAAAAAATTCCTCACTGAAAATATAATGTCTGACCATACATGACATTTTTCCCTGAAATTTCATGCCAAAAAAAAATTTTTGAAATCGTTCTGAAAAAATTATTTTCGATTGCGGGGGACAATTACAATCATTTTTTATGAATAGGCATACCCCCGAAATTCTACGCAGTTTCGAGAAAAAAATTCTTTACCGAAAATATAATGCCTGACCATACACGACATTCTTCCCTGAAATTTCATGCAAAAAAAATTTTGAAATCGTTCTGAAAAAATTATTTTCGATTACGGGGGACAATTACAATCATTTTTTATGAATAGGCATACTCCAGAAATTCTACGCAGTTTCGAGAAAAAAATTCTTTACCGAAAATATAACGCGTGGGTAGAAAAGTCTCTACAATTTTAAATATTTTTTATTTTTCCCTCAATCAATTATTTTATATAGTCTATTACTTAAGCAAATTATTACTTATTCTACAATTATGTTTATTCAAAGGATGGGTAAAATTACACAAATGGGGACGTAAAAAGATATCAACTCATTTGTGACCGACGACTGCACCCTTTTAAAATAATAAAAACAGTAAATTCACATACCGGAGATACAGAATGCCGTTCTTCCGGAAACAACTCGGTGTCTGCTGCCAATTATTCCGCGACAATTATCTATTCTCCTTTTCCGTGCAATTTGCCATCGACTCCGTCTCGAGTTACGCTAAAAGGGGAACACTCGGAAGCGCGCGATCCACACGAGGCTCGCGTGCACGGGTCGGGGCACGTTTTAATTAAATTTTCACGACCTCAGCTCCACGAGTATGCTAGTCGCGCATAATAACGCGTCTACACTGCTCGTGCACAAGTGCGCGCGTGTCCGATCCGAATTCGCGCGAGCCGTGTAACATACTGTTTCGCCTTTGTACTCGGCCGACAGCCAGAAAGAGAGTATTAACAACACCGTCGCGTCGCTTCTATCGTGGTAACGCTCGAAATGCCGCATGCACGATTAATTTTGCGACCGCATCCTAAAACATAGCGATCAAAATCCGCTCGAGACCTTTTCTTGTCCCGTGCCTCGTCGAGCGAACAGAATCTTTCACGACGTCCCATTCGCTGGAGAAAATTCATCTGCTCCTCGAGAAGAATTTATATACGCGACATCCCATCGTGCATCGTATGGATACAGTAATTAGAACGAGTAAGATAAGCTCGTGTACACAGAATACGAAATAGCGGATGATAGGATAAGATTTTAATAATGCAGATCAAATGATAAGTAGAGTAAAAAGTTATCTCTATACGCCAATCCATGCATTTTGCGATCTACGAAACAGTATTGAAGAAATTGAGTTGAGAAGTAATCGGTTTAAAAGATATAAAATACTGATATCATCGATAATAAATACAAGTTATTACCAATTTTGTGCGTCTGAAATGAAGGAATATCGAATGTGATTTTACTAAATTTGTTACATCCATGTAGAATTATTTAGGATCCATTGTCTGTAGAACGATTGAAATATTCTGCAACAGAGTTGAACAAGGTTTCGAGCGGATTTGAATCGCATCTGGGTACTACGAAAGTATAAGACGATCAATGATCCTTGCAGGCTTGCATTGAAATGCAAGGTGGTCACTTCGAGCGTCTCTCTAAACGCAAGCAGATAGAATACAAATCGAATTGTTCAATTTCACTGAATTTATTCCTTTTACTATTAAACAAGATATTAATGAAAAGTCATTTTGCAACCCTTTGTCTTGACCGCGCCGTTTCAGAGTTTCAAAGAGACGAAACGCGCACCTCGAGATGCCCGAGCACGAGCGTCGCTCATTTAATTTGTCGATACGTGATCGAGGCGTTCCTTTATTGAAAAGCATCGTATCTATCGCTTTGTACTCCTATCAAGGAAGGAAAGAGTTTCGCTTTATCTCTTCAATCATCGATAATGGCATCGAAATACAAATAATACATTTCTGAAGCACGGGACGCGATCATAGAGTTCGTGCAGACGCTGTTGACGTTTCCCATCCCGGAGCATCACGGGCCTCCATTACGCTACGCTTTTGCAAAATAAAGAACGAAGCTGCCTCTTGTACCTTCGATCGTCGACGGTAGATTGGAAATAATAAGAACGCAGGAAATTTCAGACGGTTAATTTCATTTTTCCTCCATGTCCACGTTTCTCGTGTTTGACGTTTCGTAATTGCACAACAATGTTTACCGTTACGATTTCGTATTTCTATATGTCACGGTCGAAATCCAAATGTCAACTTTGCAGTTACGAATCGAAGGGCTGTCAACTAAATCTCGCATTTTCACGACAAACGATCCCAACAAAATCGAACACGAATAATTGTAATTGTTAATTGTTAATTAAGACAAAATATTAAAATGTATTATACAAAGGAACAAACGTCAAGCAGGTTGAAAGAGCGAAATTGAATAAATTGATTTATAACACGACCCACAATAATGAACCGAATGATACTGAATAAATATTTAATATTTCATTACCGACAACAAATGAAATGGATTCTATTGTGCTCTAAAATATATATACATTTCTATATTGGCCGAAATTTGGTTTTGTATAGACTTTTTAATTTAAGAATTAATCGAAACCTCTGAATCGAAGTTTTACTGTATTAAACATATCGCGTAATATCTGTACACTTCCTTATTACTTTAGATCACAATTTCACAACGTAGATTATCTATCATTCTCCGATCTCTACAATTATATACATTCATTCGTTTTCAATTTTCTTCTTTATAAAATTCCAATTCGTTCGATTCAAATCTATCTCAAGAGACAAAGAATACGCAAGATTACTTTGTTTTTAAATTCTTGTCAGCGACTGTACACGTTTTGGAATGCCAGGATCGGTGTCTTTGTCACTTATATTTCGACGGAGGAATTCAGGACGGTCGAAAGTTTCGTGGATCGTGGCCTCGGCTGCGTGCTGTTCAATTTTCATCCTTTGACGATAGAAGAAAATCAGGAAGCATCGGGCATCGAGTTCCGTCAGCCACCGAACGATCCCTTTTGTCTCGTTTTATTTTCCGACCGGCTCGTCGCGTTCCCCGTCGAGTTCCTCTCCTTCGATTCCTTCCTCCTTTTCTCGATCCCTTTGTGCCGGCTAGATCGAGCGGACTGTTTTCCTCCACGAGCCGCGCGCGACACGCGTTCTAATCTCCCACGAAGCGTTCGCTCCGTCGCCTCTACGTCCTCGAGTTTGCGGTTAGTTTCAAAGCAAATTCGCCGGTCGCAATTGCAGATAAAATTGCGGCTCGCGAAAACGTCGCCCGAAGAATGTCGTATTTCTCTAACCGAGTCGTCGCCAAACTTGTATGCACAACTTCTTTCCTGGAATTCGTTGCAACGGCGAAAAATGTTTCCTCTGTTATTTTCAAATCAAATAAATACATTACGAATCCAAATTAGAATTTTTTATATTAACTCTCTTACAATGAAAGATAAAAAGAAAATATTATGTGATGTGAGTCAGATTCGAATAACAGAAAGTTAATAAAGGAATAGTAACGTTTAAGAAGTTTACAAAAAATCTAGATATCCCATTTGTTCAGTCCTAAAAGAATTTGTCGTAAATGAAAAATAAGTCCCGTGATTAATTTGGGAAGCAAATTGAGGAATTGTTTGTAACACTTTGTCGCGAATAAGTTCTTTTCCTCGACTCCACGCCACATTGACATTACGTTACGATTAATGGCGTCCCTGGGGGAGTTGTCTCTGTCGGTGAGGAAGACCCCAGAGTAAATAGTAAACTTCTTTACAGCCATTCCACACTAGAGCCAAGTGGATCTTCCCAACCTCGTTACTTTATGACTCGGATAACGAAGAGAGGACTAGTTATTTCTCGTCCAATAACCTTCTGGTAGAGGGTTGATCGAGGATCGAGGATGTTGACTCCATAGTCTGAATAATTTAGAGCTGTTTCGACCCAGAGCAAACACTTACTCATTCATTACAGGTTTAAAATTTATTGTTACTGATGTAACATTACGTCTATATTTTAAAATTGTTAATATTCAAGGTAAGGGCTTTTTCTTGGTGTGTCTAAGGCTTCGTAGTAAATAAAATATAGAACATTCGCATTCTGATCTCGTTTATAACCCACTTTCTGAACGATAAAAGGACATTTCGTTCCTTGGTAAATTCTCCTTCGATTTTTTGCAAATATGTCCCAGTGAAATTCGTCCAGAACCGCAGAATTAGTGGACGATGGAGGCTGGAAAACAGGTAGCCGGTACGCGCTCGTATTATTTTGGAAATGTAGGTATTACCCAGCCAGCGACCCCGACGATTGGTATCGGATCCTGAACATTTCGGTTAGCCAGGAATCCCGTCGCACAACTCGCAACAGAAATTATTCGCGTTCTGCTGAACAAACGGGGCCCGCATACCGGCCGAACGTTTCGTTCCAAACGTGACATCGCGCGAAACGCTCGCTGGTCGCATATTCTTCAATCGCTTTGACGTTTGGGATGTTCTTCCGTCCGCCATTCTGCTCGTCAGGACTCCAAGTGAAGTTCAAACGGGTTGCCACGGCGTACCGCGGAAAAATCCATTCGAAAATGCCCGTTTTCGGTATTTCTTCGTCCGTAGCATGGGCACGTCGAACTTATTTCAGAACGAGGGTCAATTTGCACTTTGCTACCGTGTCGTGGATAAGGTTAAAAGGTTAGAGTTTTGCCTCTGAACGACCGAATGGAATAAATACGAGATAATTTAATAAAGTTTCTTTGAAACGTATTCGAACGGATTGTATTGGTCGATGAATTAAGCCCTTTCTGTGTAAAAATGGGTCAGAAAAAATATAGAGAATTGAATACGATCAAAAAAAAAAATTGTATGATATCAAGGGCGAATAAATGTATCGGTTGGATTAAAACGATAAAATGGCCTTTTGAACAGCATGCATGGGACATATGCAAAGTGTTAAAGCTACTGACTTGTTAGCTTGAATATTGCTCCCAATAATTTTCGAATAAAACGTGGATATTTGTATGAAACAAAACATTCTGAAAATGTGCTTTTAATCCTAGTCCTTGCATTCGCGTTTCCGTCGTCTGTTACGAATGCACAGCCAGCGAAAGAATTGAACGTCGAACGTTGGAAAACGGTACCTTTTATGACCGCCACCGGTGTCCATTCTTTATTCGCCGTCCACTGGTTCTCCCACTGAGATACGTGAGGGGAAATTCAACGAAACCTATACGGCTCGAAAGTGGAAATTCCAACCTCGCCGAGGCTTCTGGAGATTTTTATTTATTCGAATGCCGTGGTCATTTATCTCCAGCCTGGCGATCTTCTGCGACCGATAGCCTCCAGCCAGGCGACGTTCCAGGATCAAATTCTTGTTAGAAAGAAAACCGTGCACCGGCGACTAACCCACTGTTCAATTTCAGCTTCCGAAGACTCGATACACGACGCATTACTTCGATTACTTCGAACAATAAGATTTTCCTTTAACCAATTTCTATCAAAGATACCAAAGTCTTTTAAAATTGTAACTTTTACTTTAAAATTCACGTTAACCATCGTTCGCATTAAAAATTACCTCAGAGGCCAATCAAACGTGTAAGAATAATTTTCAAACTGTTGGTCTATAAATATATAATAATTTTATAGTTTGAATATCGCTCGAAATCGATACCTATGAATGGGAGTAACCCTTTAAAAGTTTACCTAAAAGGGTAGTCCCTTGAATTTGATTTGTCACAAGCTGAATATAGTGTGTATCGCTTAGTTTTTGCTGCTCTACAAACTTCCAGAGTGTCATCGAAATTGGGTAAAGAGGATAGATCGGTGATGGTCCTTGTCAGAATCGATGTCAAGTGAAACATCGAGTGACGACAAGCGAACCGGAATTCATTTGTTGGCTAATAACAGTACGCGTGGAAAAATATTGAATGATTTCCTTCGAAACTCAGAGCAATGCTATATTACTTTTTCAAATATCTATCTTACCGAGTCTGTGATAATTAAAACATTTCGATTATGATAACTTCTGTGCTTTTCTTTCTCGACATTGTAATTTCTGCAAAACAAAAACTAAGGATGGTGTTCTCGTTCGCTTTTAATCGACAATGAAATAAAAGAAACATACATACTGTAGGAAATAACATGGGGAAAAATAAAATGGTAGCTGATTATGATGTAACAGAGGAAATGCGACTCACCCCGCTTCACGTCTCGCCACGTGTTCGTGATTTCGTCGAATCTTCCTTGTCCGTTTGGTGTTCACCCATATAGTCCTCTCACATCGTTCCGATGCCCGATGTTCTTCGAACCTGAAACGCATTTCGAACAAAAAGATTTACTCAGACGCGTGCAACGAAGTACTCGACGTACGAAAAATCAACAAAAAAACATAGACCGTCGCAAGGAAATCGCGCGAAACGTCTTTACGGCTATTTTTCACCGAGAATTCGTTTTTATCGTGCCGGGATGCCTGGAAAGATGCACGTACGAAGCCACGGCGACAGGCTGCGCAATCTAACGACGTCGTTGGTTGCACTCGCGACGAATGCGCGGAACGTCTGACCTGTCTGCACACACACCGCCCAACGTCGCGCAACTCCGAGGCAAACAATCAGACTTTCGTGCATGGAACATAAATCTAACCCGACTTTCTTATGTATTTCGAGAGTCCATCGCGGCGAACACGTTCTCCCTTACGTTTGACGGGAACACGGAACGTCGATTAAGTTATGACTCGAATAACAGAGATTGCGTTTCACCCGCTACCATGTTTCTGCGCCAGGCGAAAGAGCGTTGGTAATAATTTTTCGAGGAAAAAGTCGTTTTTCTCTCGCGGAGTCGACTCGCGTAAATAGAAATAAATTCTGCGACCACGTTTGATACATGTACCGCGCTTCGCGATGAATTTTAGATCTTTAAATAAATGAATGTGCTCGATTGAAATTGCGGCGATCGCGTTACAGTTCGTTTCAATCTTTGGTTAAATTTTTCCTTAATTTGTTACGTATTTGATGATCAAAAATGATCTTTAGCCAGGAGCCAAGTTCTCGTCCAGAGGAATTTTAATCGTGAATTCCTGTGCACACATTATCCTTCTTAGAGTTATTGTTTGCTAACATATACATAGATACACAATTACAAATAGAAATATCTCGAATACAATTATTTCAGAAACAAAACGTTGTAAAGAACAATTTTTGACATATATCTTCACGATTTTTTGGATCTTACTTATCTTCTGGTTGATTGGAACACGCGTAGCGAAACGTCCCGTGTTTGTGACACGCGCTGTAGTTTGATCGCGATCTTGGATCCCGAATCCGCGAATTCTGAGTGCCTACGCTTGTTTCATTCCTGAATCCTGGGCATCTGTTTATGTCTCGCATAGCACGGGTTCGCAGACTACACACACGTGTGCATATGCGGGCACATGCGGCGAGACGCATACACCGCAGAACACGCAAGAGCAAACAAGAGGAGCAAGCATGTGCGGCTTACGCGAAATGTTGGCTGCAAACTGGGAATCGTAAAGCCTCGAGCGTTGTAACCCTTATACCCCGTGTTTGTTTAACCATATTTTATCGTTTTGGTTCGTTTCGCGAGGAAACGCTCTAATGAATCGAATATTCTGGCACGTTGATTCGATCGAAACACGCATACGCAAGCCGCGCTACCGTACCGTACGTCGAATATTTATTTTTTACGACTGATCAACGGAAATATTCGGTTTCATCGGTCGGATTTCAGCGAACAAACACCGTGCTTTAGCTTTTATTTTTCTCGGCTACGCGATCGAAGTTCAAACCTGCGAAGCACAGTGGCGTTTTCGAAATCGTTGATTCGCGAGAATTTCAAACGAATTATTTTCCAGGCACAGGCGATATATTCTTTTTTTGTTATCGGGGACCATCGACGTAATTTACGTCGCGTCGAAGCGAATGAGGAACGCCGAAACGCGTTGTAAGCGTCCGCGAATAGTGCTCCGAAACGAAATTGGTCGTAAAATCCGTGACGAAGAATCTTTTATCTCTTAATGTTCTCCGTTCCTCATCCCCCCGTTGCGCCTGGCACCGTTACAAGATAAGGGGTGCTCGTTCCCTTCTTAATCTTCGCTTTTCCACCTCGTTCTGTTACGCTTTTGTCCGATCCCTTTATTGCATCTTACATTTGGAAGCGGAGCACAGTTTCTTTCGTGCAACGACGCGTTAAAATAAAGCTAACGAATATCCGTGATTCGCTTGGAACGCGATTTAATGCATTTGAACGGAGCAAAAGCAAATTGCTGTACAATCACGCTACCGAAGCTCGACAATACATTGCGCTCAAAGATGATAAAATATAATTTGATTTAGTAGAAGATAAAGAAAATGAAGAAGAGATTCCTTAGTTTAAATTTAGATTCTAATATAGAATCTCGATTACCAAATTATTACAAACGTCCCTATTCTTCATTTCTTCTTGTTTGCTCTTCATAATGAGTTAAAAATTTAAGAAATTTTCTAAAAACTCTTACCAGATTTATACTAAATACGTTAAATGTTTCTCGATTATTTCCAAAAGTTTCGAATCAATTGCAATGGCTGGGGCCACATAAGCCTCAAGGACCATCGGTAACATTCCGATTCAATACATTTTTCGAGTGGTCGTCGGCAGTTTATCTCCCGACGCTAGCGAAAGTTCTACAATTTTCCTTTCCCGGCCAACCCGTTATCCTGTCGAAAAAGGCGGTTGCGGTTTCACGACGACACGAAACGCTCGGCGTTCGACGGTTTTCACGTTTCGTCGCCTCCGATTTTTCTCCTCTCTTTCGGTCACCGTGCCTCCCCACCTCTCCCCCTACACACTTTCGGTTCGACGATTGTAACTCAAGTCGTGGCTTGGACAGCCAGAGGAAACTCCGGGTTGAAGTAGTCGTGAAACTTCTCGGCGACAAGGACGATTGGTTTCCGCCTGAAAACAGCTTTCAGACACCAATTACCGGTGCGGCTGGCTACAACCGACCGGTGACCACTCGAGCGATAACTGAAACCCCCGTCAGGATTTCGCTACTGCAAGAAGTTCCGAAGCTGCTATACCGAATTAGCGGCCGCGAGGATAGAGACGCCCTCGTCTATAACCGGGAACACCTGGAGGTCTTTGTGCAATGCGGGCGAATGGAAACCGAAATAACGATGATAAAACCGACAGCGTTCCGTCGATTATCGTTTTCAGACGTCTGTTTCGTTTTATAAATTCTACAGCTTCAATCGTGGTCTAAAATCGAGCCTAAAATCAAATCTGAGGCTTCGATATTCCTTGTCGCTTGATCATCGATTTAGTATATGAGAAAGAAAGAGAAATAATTCTGACGACGCTTCCTGTACTCGCCAGAAGAGGGCTACGCTCAACCTTCCTTTCTCGCAAGTGCTCAACTACCTCCTTTCCTTTCGATCCTCCAGATATCTCGCTTATTTCTTTCTATGACAAGAACAATTGTTTCGAACAGTGTTATATACCGGTTTTAAAGTATACGTAGAGTTCTCTAAAAATTAACGACATAAATAAAGTTGCAAATAGTTATTTTTCAACAGAGTGTTAAGAATACATAGGAAAAGAAATTATAAATGTAATTAGTGTAAGAAAGTTTGGAAATACGGATAACTTAAAATGGTCGAGAATTAAAAAGTAATCTAATATGTGTACAGTGGCTACAATATTCTAAAGAAATAAGAATCTCTCGCTATTCATAACGTTGGTATGATGTTGATAAACCCTTCCTGCTATGGCACCTTGACATCTAAGCGACACAGAATTCCCTAACTTCCTACAGGAGTCCATTAGCACTTGAGACCATAGCATCGTGATTTATTGCAGTAATTAATATTTGTTAGCGACTGACCATGAACCCGGTTATAGTTGCAGCGTCTAATGTAAATTCCATTCAGCATCTATGGGGTTTGCATCAAGATGGTTGCTTAAAAATCCTCGCTATATAATAACTTCGAAAACGAAACGTTGTATCAAAAATATTTCATTCCCGATAATTTGGTCCTGCGCCGTGAAAGTTCGTCCAATGACAAATCGAAAATGATTCTATCAGTGAATTTCCATTTGGTAACGCGTGGTGATAGAAAGTTGACGAGACATAGTTTCTGACTTTCTCACGAGCTAGCTGCTGTTAATTGTTCAAATGGCCCCTGGCTAGATCCAGGAACACAACGCTACACAGTTGTACAATTTATGGTCTTACAAACAATTAGACAAACTTTGTTATAACGAACACGCGTATAACGAGATCACAACTGTTAATACCAAACCGCTGCAACGATTACAAATTACTCTGAGAAATAATAAATCGTATATCTTATCGATAGTATTTTTTATTTAGTCGAATAAAAATTAAACTACATTCGAGTTACGACTATAACTATATTCCTTTGTATTATTACTGTAACAATTTTTTTTTTCGATGAATCTACGGTCCCTACTGTGACAAGTCTATTCGATAAGCACCCAATTTTTGTGTCGCCGGATGGGAGGAAGAAAATAGACGAATTATAGGCGAACGATAGTCGAACGAAATTCGCCAGTGAAAAACGTTTCTCTAGGCGCGAAAGCGAACGAGGTCGCCGTTATTTCCGATACCACGCGAACGATGATATTTTCGAGCAGCCAGTCATGTTGGAGTTATTGCTCTGGGGTTTTCGAGGTTATAGTTTGCGGCCAACTTCGAGCGCGGTCTGTGCTTCTGATATAAAAAAACATGAAAATGTAAATGACAGACGCCGTCCGTGAATACGCGGAAAACTACTACAGGACCACGTGCTATAACGTACAGTATTAATCTTCAGACACCGTCTATACCTTCTCGCTCTGTATGCAAATGTAGGATGTAATAGGAACACTCCCCCCGAACTACATCTTAATTTTCAAGCACACGTTCTCCATCTCGTTCGGGTGAAGTGGCATTTCAGACAAATTACACGGAGCATTAGACAATTTCAAGAAGTTTCTAGATGTTTAAGTATTCGCGAGCCCGAACGTTCGAAAACGTCCAAATAATAAAGTAATGAACGGATAATAGAGTTTTGGATGTCGAATGCTCGAAAATCAATTTCAAATTCAAGATTTCAGCCGTCAAAGTATCGTTTGCAGAAATTAATCAGAACGACGACTCGTTTGGTTATTAGAGCAGGATTCGGGCATTGCTACAAAGATGGACGCCCGTCCGTGTATCCATATTCCTGTATTATGCATGCATCAAGATCCCAGCCGGTGAACTGGCCGACCCTGTTACACGTACGCACACACTCCATTCATGGGTTTGGCT